CAGCTTTGAAATATTCATAAGCCAAGGAAAAGTCCTCTCCTAAGCCCCCATTTCCACAATCAGCATGCCCAGGTCAGTACCACAGGGACATATTTCTGAGGTCTGCCTTGCTACAGAGAGAGCACTTCCTGCTGGAAACACGATGTTCTGAAGCATCCCGAGTCTCCCCGCTGGGGAACTGTACCGGGGCCAGGATAAATAGGGTGCTACATGTATGTGGCTGGTGAAGGGCCCAGAGACATACACACCAATACTGGCCACCGTTCTCAGAATATGTGCTTTGTTCTAGGCACTATACTCAGCGCTTTTCGTGTTAGACTATGGAAGCCTCATCATAAACCTGTGAGGGAAGTATTATTACTATTATTACTCTTACTTCATAGATAAAGAAAATGAGATGATACTCGGAGGGGGTCAGGAATGTCTGGGCCAACAGCTTAAGCTTTTTTAACTTCGCCTGAGGAGAAGACAGTGTCTACCTGAAGAACACTAAATAAAATGGTCTATCCAGCTCTATATTTAATCTCTCTAAATGCATTAAAGGTAGTCTAGTGGGAACATGCGTTTTCTCCTATCATCTCATACTTACAGAAAACAAGATGAACCAAACACTTTTTACTCCTCTCTGTCAATAATCCCTCAGGGATTTACCATCCATGTAACTTGTAACTGAAGATCAGTTGTGCTGCACTGCCACCCACCCCTCCCCTATTTGTCCTCTGTGTCCCTGCTGTTAAGTCTTAGTGTGTCATGGTCAAGATCTCCCCACTTTGCCAGCCTTCATTCCCTACCCGACTCTAACCAAGAGACTGACTGGATGTCATGGTCTCTTCAAATACCAAGGTCTGGCCCCTGACAACCCGTGACTGAGTCCCAGCTTCCTTTAGCCTCTACCAGCCTCTACCAGCTGCCCTCATCCCAGTAAACTATTCTAGGTCTACAGTCCAGTCCTTCCACTCTGCCCCGGCTTCCTGCAGGAGATTGGGACACACTGAGCTGGGCCTGGACACAGCTTAGATTTTGACAACGGAAATTTGGGAGATGGGACAAAAGCACAGATAAGGAGGTAGGAACTGAAGGGTAGGATGAGACAAGGAGCTGGGAAGAACCCAGTTTGGCCATGAGGTTGGAAAGATCAGCTCTCTAGGCTAAGGATGCTGTTAGGCTGGATTCCCTTAGTGCTTCTGCCAAGCTGCTAAGGTTTCCAGAAACAGATCTTTGAGGGCTCCTAGGTACAGAAAGTCTAGCCAAGACCACCAAGAGGCCTGTTGGAAAAAGTTTCAGGACAGTCAGTAACTGTTACAGCCTTGGTTTACTCACTCTAAAAATGAGGGCCGTAATAATACCTACCCTATAGCACTACAGAATCAACATAAAGGATCCCCGATGCACAGTAAGAGCCTGATAGATATTTGCAATTATAATTAATAAGTATAAAATGGACCGCTTAATAGTTTTCCTCAAACACGTCCCACTCCATTCCAGCAAACCAAACCATCCACTCAATTGGCCAGGGTAAAACCTGGATGTCTTGGTTTGTAATAACATCAGTACTTGGACAAACTTGTTTATCCTGTAAGAAACATGCAAGAGGCTCAGAACTACATCACCAACACTATCACTAACAATAAACCTCCTCAGAAATGTTTAAATTTGCTTTGTAGCCTGTGTTATCCTTATAATACACCCCACTATGGATGTATAGTTAAAGAACTGCTTTTATAGCCTGTGTTATCCTTGTAATACACCCCACTATGGGTGTATAGTTAAAGAACTGCTTTTAAGCTACTTGAGTTCATTCCTTTCTCTGGGACTATACTATCAATTCCTCATGTTGTTGTTGTTATGTACCACTGAGTCGGAGTCAACTCACAGCGACCCCTCCTTGGGTTTCCAAGGTGGCATCACTACAGAAGTAGATTTCCCAACTTTCCTTCCGTCAATTCCATATAGTTAGATTCAAATGCTTCTGTTTAATGTTTGTCCCCCACCCAACCTTCAGTCCATTCAGTCTTCCCCTTCCCTACTGCTACCACCCTAACTCAAGGCCCATCATCTCCTACTTGGACCTTAGGAGTCTAAGCTCTTTGCTTTGACTCCTCTAAAACTCCCAAGTGATTTTTGGGAAATGTAAATCAGACTCTGTCATTCCCTTGATTAAAATCCTTGAGATTTGTGACCATGGCCTATGAAGCCCCATATGATCAAAAGTTACTTCTCTAACCTCATTTCACCCACCTCTCCCCTTTCCAAACCAAACCAAACTCACTGCCATAGAGTCGAATCTGACTTATAGTGACCCCTCCTTGGGTTTCCCAGGTGGTATCTCTATTGAAGTAGACTGCCCAGTCTTCCTTCTGAGGAGTGGCTGGTGGGTTTGAACTGCCAGCCTTGCGGTTAGCAGTCAAATGCTTTAGGTACTACCTGCTGCCTTGGAAAGGACCTCTGGTGGCACAGTGCCTAAAGCATTTGACTGCTAACCAGAAGGTTGGCAGTTCAAACCCACCAGCTACTTCGTGGAAGACTGGGCAATCTATTTCCGTAAAGATTTACTGCCTCGGAAACCCAAAAGAGGGTCGCTATGAGTTGAACTGACTCGATGGCAGTGAGTTTGGTTTATTTTTGGCTGCCTTGGAGGCAATTCCAACTCATAGCAACCCCGTGTATTACAGAAAACTTGCCCACAGGTTTTTTTTTTTTTTGCCTATAACCTTCACAGAAGCAGATTGCCAGGCCTTTTTTCTGCAAAGCTGCTGGGTGAATTAAACCACCAACCTTTAGGTTAGTAAACCAGCACAAACTATTTGAGCCACCCACAGCTCTTTCCCCTTCTGGCATAATGGCCCCTTTTTGTTCTTCCAAGACCCAAACTTTATAACCTCAGTATCCTCATATTTGCTGCTCCCTTTGCAGAGAACAATTCCTTTCACCCAGATTTTAGCATGACTGGCTATTTCTTATCTTTCACTTCATGACTTATAGCATTCCTTGACTGCTCTGTTCAGTACCCCACTCTCTTCACTACTTTCTAGTATATCACCCTGTGTATTTTCATGACTCTGTTGCAATCTGAAATTATCTTGTGTATTTGTTTATTATGTCTCCCCAACCAAGAATATAAGCTCCATGAAGACAGGGACCTTGTCTGGCCAGCCAACTGCTGAATCTCCTGTGCCTAATACAGTGCCTGACTTGTATCAGGTATTCAATAACTACAGAATGAATGAAACTTGAGGTGACTCCTCTGACAACCAACTGGGAAAGTATCTGAGAAACTTGAAATTACTATAAAGGCTGCTGAGCAGCCCAATTAGCAATAACAATATCCATGTACAAGCTGCTGTAAGGATAATGAATTTGCTCTGTAAACTTTCACCCAAATCACAATAAAAATTTCAAAAAGAATATCCATGTACAAAAGCTCATACATGCTTCTCCATGGGCTTCATGCAGAGCCAATTTACTCTCACTTTATAGCTATAATTCTAATAAGCTTGATTTGCTGGTTTCCTTGCCAGTAGCTGACTTAAAGCAATACACTGGAAGGGAAAGGAAAGAGAAAAGAAGGGGAAGGGAGAGAAAGGGAAGGGAAGGAGTATGCTGTCAAAATTAGCTACTGACAGCAATAGGAAATGACAGGAAGAAATACACAAGAAATCTCAAAGTCTCACCCTTCAAGGGGATCACTGTACAGTGAAGTGCTTAAGATGTCATTTACCATTATAATTATCATTAAAATGATTATCAAATGCCTGGTATGGCGTAGGTGTCCATGAATTATCTATAAGGCACATTTCAGAAAGTTTCCCTTCAAAGGATTTTTTAGAAAGTTTTGGATCTTGAAGCTTTGGTCATGTGGAGAATGTATGGGTAATTGAGGCTATGCTGTTGGTCCTTTCACTTTAAACTCACCTTTTTCAATTTCCTCAAATTCTGAGACTAAATGATCAAGCAATGATCAAACCTTCATCACCTGATTGACTTATACCAAGAGTTCTGAACTTGGGATTCATGGATAGATTTTAAGGGTTATGTGAACCCCCTGAAAACAGTCTATGTGTTTGAGTGATAACGTGCAATTCTATGCAAAATTCCATGTATTTGAGTGGTCTGTGCCATTTTTCAAGGAAGAGAGTCTGTAGTTTTCATCAGATTCTCTGAGGAGGTCCCTGCTGCCAAGGAGACTGAGAAGTCCTAACTTATCATTCTCTCTGCTGCCTGTTATCTCTCCAGACTCAAAAGTAAGTACAAGCTTTGTGTTTCAAATTCAGGTTTCTACTTCTGTAGCCTTGGGACAGTGACTTAAGTCTCTCTGCTCCTCATTTCCTTATCTGAAGAAGGAAGACATCAAACCTGCTGGTTGTTGAAAGGCTTAAAAGAAAACTTACATAAAAGCACCTAAGTTGACCAGCAACTAAATTAGCTACCACCACCTGTACCACCGTTATTACTAAAGAGTGCTGATCAGACATGGGTGCCTCTGCCTCCCAATGAAACTTGTCTAAGATTTGGTGATCAAAATTAAAAGTAGAACTTCAAGTCTTAATACAGCATAGTTGTACAGTTCTTAATCCTTTCTGGAAAAGGTTTGCTCTTTGTATATTTCCACTGCTAGAATCTTTCTTCAGAAAATAATGGCCAATTTCCCTGGAAAGCCTTTACTGGGTTTCTGTAGTAAGGAAATGAAAGACTTGTTGCCTTAACCCTAATTCTGTCTCTTACTAGTTATATGTCCTTAACAAAATCATTTCTATTAACTCAGCAGCAAAGGGAGAAAGGAGCTAGTAACATCTATCTGATTGGTTATGGGTGATAAAATGAGAATATGCACGTAAAATATTAATTTAACAGTGTTTGACACAAATACTAAGTGGTAGATAACTCTCATCACTATCAGCATCATTAACATGATTACTGAGTACCTGGTATACAGTAGGTGGTCAATTAATGCTAACCTTCTCTTCCATCTCAACCTACTCAAGCCAGTCCTGAACTCTTACCTGAAGCACACTGTGGTTCATCTGGAACTGCAGGATGGCCTCACAGAACTTCCAAAATGTATATTCTGGCCATAGAACTGGCTGGAAAACCAGGCAGGAGTGAGAGGTCTGGAAAAGGTGAGGAAGAGAGAGTATGATTTAGTTTCACATCCCTGGCCAGGCCTCCAAAGAAGGAGCAGGCTGAGCAGGACCCAGAAGCCCAGAGATGAAAATGGCACAGATATCCTGAGCTGCTGCCACCAGCCCTGATTTACTAATAGGGGGAGGGGTCATCTGAGGCACTTAGATCAGCTGCCTCCAGTAAAGCAGAAATAAAACAAGACTTGATCAACATTTCCACCAGGATTTTTCTAAGAGCCAATTTTAGGACTATGAAATAACATCTGGATTATGTTTTGGCTCTTGGCCCTTAAAGGTCATCTGGGAGACACACTGGTAAAAGTCAGCAATGAACAAATGGTAACTGCCATTGTTATTTTTAAGTAGCAGCAGTATGGCACAGTGGTTAAGAGCATAGGCTATGGAGCTAGACTGTCTGGCCTTAAATTCTGGCTCCACCACTTAACATCTATGTGACCTTGGGCAAGATACTTAACCTCTCGAATTCAGTTTCCTCAACTGTAAAACTGTAAAAGCTGGGTAATAAGAATACCTAGCTTTCAGGGTTTTATGAAGATTAAATCAAATACGTCCACAAAGTAGTCAGAGCATAGAGCCAGGTGAACTTTAATAATAATCACTGATTTAAGAATCCCTTTTCTAACACTCTCGACAGCCACTGCCTGACACCTTTGTTGTTGTTGTTATGTGCCGTTGAGTTGGACCCGACTCATAGCGACCCCTCCTTGGGTTTCCAAGGCAGTATCACTACGGAAGTAGATTGACACCTTTAGTGGTAGGGAATTCAGTGCCTCAGAGGACAGGGGTAACTAGCTATGTGACAGCTTATTATACTAAACCAATGTTACTTTCCCCAGAACCTCCACCAAGGCCCCAGTTCTTCTTTTCTTTGGAACAAGTTTGTATCTTCTTCAAAGTGACATTCTTTCAAATATTGGAAGGCTAGATTAGAGGTGCCTGTTTTCTGTTCCCTAGTGACTTGTTCAGAGTCTGTCCTTGCCAACAAACTAAATCTCAAGACAGTCAGGATCATTTCTGACTGGGTCACTGTTGTACTCCCATCACAAGGGAGGAACTGTCATCATGCTTCCCTTTTCAAGACCATTATCCTTCATTCATTCCTTGCAGGACTTGAGTTCTAGATTCCTTGCTATCTGGTTGGCTTCTTCTGATAAGTCCTCCAGCTTACCAACATAGTCTCCTAAAACTCAATGCCCAGAAATAAACTCTTCAGATGCAATCTGGAGAACAGAGTGGGCCGCAGAACCATTAGCTGAACACTCTATTTTTTCAATGTACCCAAAGACTGAAAGTATCTTCAGTAGCTGAATCTTCTTAGTTCACTTTTAAGACTGTGGTCCATTAAAATTCTGAGAGTTTTATCATGTGAGCTGCTTCCAAGCTGGATCTTTCCCTCCAACCTCTCTTTTTGTTTTGTGTCTTAAATGCTCTTTGAACAAGAACTTACCCTATTCATGTTTTAGCAAGGGGCCAAGTTAACAGGAGACAGATATTTTAAAACAAAACCAATGTATTTGGGGATATGAGCTTTTGGAGGAATAGCTATCCTGGGAGGCAAGGGCATGCTCTGAAGAACAAGTGTGCATAGAGTTTATATCCCCAAGGACTATGCTTTCATTGACACGGCCCTTAATTCTAAAGGGAAGAGACAAGTAACTGTAAGGCAAGTTTCCCACCCAAAGGTGCTGGGGGACCTGGCAGGTTACCAAGGCAGAAGTCCAGTTCGCTGAACAGGAACACAAGTGAAATTTCCAATACAAGTGGAGAGCCTGGACTTCTCTAGGCTGGGTGCCTTGCCCACTGGACATGAAGAACCACACAAGTGCACAAAGCCAAAGACAGACGAGGAAGGGACAGCAAAGGTTACCAGGCCCAGCCTGGAGATACCTCTTCAGATTTCAGCTTTTTCCCCAACTTTTCTGGTAAAAGTAAATGGGGCAGCATGAGCCACTCTAATCCATTCTGTGGGTGCAGTCACAGTTTTCAGGCTGTCACAGACAGAATGATGGTTAGGAACTACCTACCTGCCAGAGCAAGAAGTCGCTTAGCCTCACTTCCCCAGAAGTCCGTATCAAGATGTCTGGATGAGGAGAGTGGTTGGTATAGAGGCACTTATCGAGCAGGGACTCAGAGATATCGCTAAGGTGAGAGTGGAGGAGACAAAAACAAGCTCATACATCTCTTTTTGTATTTTCTCATGGTGAACTTCCAGTTTATAGAACACCATCAAATATATTAGCCAACAGAAGGTTCTCAACAAATGCTTGGTAAATTAATAAATGACTTTAATGCTCACAACTACATAGGATATTTCTATCTTCATTTTATAGAAAAGGAAACTGAGGCTCAGAAGGGATAAATAATTTGCCCAAAGTCATTAAGCTACAGGACTAAAATCAGATGCACCAGCTGTAATTGTGTTGTCTTTCGTTTAAAACACTGCTTTTTTTAAAATGCATACACCCTATGACCCAGCAATTTGATGAAATACTATGCTGCTGCTTTTTTTAAATAAAGGTAAATCTAAACGTATTGATTTGGAAAAAAGTCTCAGATCTAATGTTAAATGAATAAAGCCAAGTTTCAGAAGCATATAGTGTGTGATTTTTGGGGGCAAACACACACATACACTCTCTCTCAAACTCACAAAAATATACAGTTGTTTTTGTTAGGTATTGTCGGGTCAGTTCTGACTCACAGCAACCCCGTTGTACACAGAATGAAACACTGCTCAGTCAAACGCCATCCTCACAATTGTCACTGCTTGAGTTCATCATTGTAGCCACTGTATCAATCCATTTCATTGAGGGACTTCCCTCTTCTTTACCAAGCATGATAATGTTTTCCAGGGACTGGCCTTTCTGACTACATGACCGAAGTATATGAGATGAACTCTGGCCATTCTTGCTTCTAAGGTACACTCTGGCTATACCTCTCCCAAGACAGATTTGTTTGTTTTTCTGAGAGTCCATGGTACCTTCAATATTCTTCACTACCACCACAATTCAAATACATCAATTCTTCTTTGGTCTTCCTTATTCACTGCCCAGCTTTCACATGCATATGAGGCAACTGAAAATACCATAGCTTCAGTTAGGCACACCTTAGTCTTTAAAGTGACATCTTTGTTCTTTAACACTTTAAGATGTATCTTGCAGCAGATTTTCCCAGTGCAACACATCATCTGATTTCTTGACTACTGTTTCCATGGGCATTTGTTGTGGACCCAAGTAAAATGAAATCCCTGACACTTCAATCTTTTCTCCATTTATCATGATGTTGATTAGTCCAGTTGTGAGGATTTTTCTTTCTTTACATTGAGGTAAAGGCTACAGTCTTTGATTTTCAGTAAGGGCTTCAAGTCATCTTCAAGTCAGCTTTAAGCAAGCAAGGTTGTATCATCTAACCCTGATGCCACGTTCTTCTTCATACAGTCCAGCTTCTTGGATTATTTGCTCAGCATACAGATTGAACAAGTATATATATATATGTGTGTGTGTGTGTGTGTGTTATGTATGTGTGTGTGTGTGTTATGTATGTGTGTGTGTGTGTTATGTATGTGTGTGTGTGTGTGTATATATATATATGTATATATATGTATGTATATGTTTATACATATGTATATAAAAAGTACTTAAGAATATGAGTACATACATATGAATATATACACACACACATATATAAACTTATACATATATAAAGAACAAACTCTAGAAAGACGCATACCATATTATTAATGGTGATTACCTCTGGAAGGTATTACAAGAAGTGAGGGAGGAAAGATTGTGTCTTTTTACTTTGTATACTTCTGTATTGATTAAGGTTATTATAAAGAACATTTTTAAGATTTTAAAATACATACGGAACTAGAAACACTACAAGACTTCATATTAATTGGGATTTTAAATAAACATCAATATGAGTAGCACTACTGTGTTTGTTAAGAGCCACTTTCCCAAGCAGCACTGAGAAAACTGGTGACCAGCAATGTGCATCTTACATGAAACTTTTCTATCCATGGGAATAGGGAATTTGCAAGGCTATGTCTGTTAGCTCCAAGAGCACTGTTGAAATGTCCTATATGAAATGTCCTATATGGGAAAAGTAGATCTCCAGAAACTGGATCTCCACATGCAAAAAGAGTGAGTTGGACCCTTACCTTACACTATACATAAAATTCACCTCAAAATGGATCAAAGATCTAAATCCAAGAGCTAAAACTATGAAATTCTTGGAAGAAAACATAGGGGGAAAGGATCATGACCTTGGACGTGGCAATGGAGTCTTAGATTTTACACCAAAAGATAAACAGTAACAGAAAAAATCATTAATTTGGATTTTATCAAAATTAAAAGCTTTTGTCCATCAAAGGACACTATCAAGAGACTGAAAAGACAACCCATAGAATGGGAAAAAATATTTGCAAATCATCTATCTGAAAAGGGATTAGTATCTAGAATATATCAAAAACACTTACAACTCAAAAAATACAACAAAAAATGAAGCAATGCAATTAAAAAATTGGCAAAGGACTTGAATAGACATTTCTCCAAACAAGATATACAAATGGCCAAAGAGCACATGAAAAGATACTCAACATCATTAGTCCTTAGAAAAAGGCAAATCAAAATCACAATGAGAAACTCCTTCACACTAGGATGGCTATTATATTAAAACAAAAACAATGGGAAATAATGTCTTGGAAAGGATGTGGTCAAACTGCAATCTTTGTGCATTGCTGGGGGGAATGTAAAATGTTACAGTCATTGTGGAAACCAGTTTGGTGGTTTCTCAAAAAGGTAAACAGAATTAATTACCTTATGCCCCAGAAATTCCACTCCTAGGTATATTCCCAAAAGACTTGAAAGCAGGAACTCAAGCAGATACCTGTACACCCATGTTCACTGTAGCGTTATTCCAAATAGCAAAAAGGTAGAAACAATTCAAATGTCCATCAATGAATGAACGGATAAACAAAATGTGGTGTGTATATATATACATATACAATGGAATATTATGCACCCATAAGAAGATATGAACTTCTGACACATGGATGAACCTTGAAGACACTATGATAAGTGAAATAAGATAGCCACAAAAGGACAATTATTATATGATTCCATTTAAATGAGGTTTTGAGAATCAGCAAATTCATAGAAACAGAGTAGAATACAGGTTACCAGATCCTTGGAAACCTTATGGGGCAATTCTGCTCCGTCTTACAGGGTCACCATGAGTTGGAATCGATTTGAGTATAACAAGGTTGGTTTCTTGCTACATGTGGATACAAACCCATCTAGGAATAGTTTTCTTTGTTATGTTAATTAGATTTGCCACTATAAGTGTGTTTTAAGCCAATCACTTTTGAGATATAAAAGGACCAGAGTAGGCACAGCCCAAGTAAGCATGAATGAGGAAACACAGATGACATGTGAAGATCTCCAAGAAATACAACAACACCAGAAAAGCTGAGACAAGGATTTTTCCTTAGAGTAGACAGAGCCCTGAGAGCTGGTGTCCTGAATTTGGACTTCTGGCCTCCTAAA